ATTTATTATAGTTACAAATACATTTGAAAAATTCAGGCACATATAAATAAATATGCAGAAAAAGCCAATAGTTTTAAAATCCTTATGTTCTGTATTATAACGATAGAGCTATAAACAAATTTCTTTTATTTATCAAATGTTTATTAAATCATGAGGAGACATTAAGTGTGAAGGGCCAATGGCAGGGAAAAGAATAAATTGGAGAAACCTTCAAGTTAACTTCCAGGGGGTGCTTTTCTGTCCCCACTTGAAGTCTCCTCAGAAGCATTTGACAGCTGTTCACTTTCTCTTTTTCACGTCTTTCCCTTTAATTTCCACGATGCCATCCTACTCCCATCCTTCTCTACGTTTCTAGCCCTTCCTTCTCAGTTGTCTTTGGTGGATCTTTTTTTTTTTAATTTTAGGGTATTGTGAGGGTACAAACATTATGGTTACACTTTATGTCTTTGCCTGCATCTCTCTTTTTCTCTCCCTCCTTCCCTCCATCACTTACTCCCTCTCTCCCTTTCTCCTTTCCTCTTTCTGTCTCTCTTTTTCACTTCCTTTTCTTCTTTGATTATAAAAAACAGTATAACAATAATGTGAAGGAGAAATTTTTAAAGGTAAAGAAGAAAAGTAAGTGAAAACAAGAGACAGAAAGAGGAAGGGAGAAAGGGAGAGAGGGAAAGAGGGAGTAAGTGATGGAGGGAAGGAGGGAGAGAAAAAGAGAGATGCAGGAAAGCAGGAAGGAGACAAATCATAATCAGTAATGATCTGTTTAAGAGCACAAATGTAAAGTGTTCTAGATTAGGGCAACTGACATTTGAGAATTTTCTTTTTATTCAGAGTAGGTATTTACAGAAGGTTTAGAGATTACATGTCACACATAATATGCATAGAGCTACCTAAACCTAACCGAAAAGGAATTTTTAATGTGATTTTTCTAGTTTGGCTGACAGCCTGTTCCAGCGTTAAACTAATTTCTTTCTGTTAAATCAATTTCTTTCTGTTAAATCACAGTTAAAAAGTTATTTACTCTACTTCAAGCTTAATAGTTATTAAATGACAATTCTACACTTACCAATCTGCCAGTTCCTTTCTTTGGCTTCATTATAAAACTGATGTAGCACAAGGAAGTCAATGACATCTGGCATGTCATGATACCTGTACAGAAAATAAAGCACACGTGAATCAATATAGAGATAAAACAGTATTATGTTACTATAT